AGCAGAGGCGTACACTGACATTCACTTACCCAAGAGAAAAAATGCCGGGGTTGCTCAAGCTACATCAAACCCAGCTGAGAGCTATTCAGCTTGGGGGGAAATAGATGGAAGTAACATTTGCACCTGAGAAACGCAAATGATGAGTCCTGGGCACCGATGGTAATGCGTGAGTAGTACGGTGAATGGGGACGAGTTGGCACTGGAGAAAAGTGATATCCTTGGGGTGAAAAAATTTGACTCCAAACAAAACCATGAAAAAACCCTGTTGTAAAAACTTGCAAACAAGGCAGCCCGGGAAACTTTCACCCCTTCGCCGTAACTCGCACCCGCTTGACAGTAGGGGGTTTCAAGATCCTGTACAAGGCACAAGTACGCTCACACCCTTTATATGCTCCCCTTTCTTGGTTTGTGCCCCCCTCCATCTGGACTGCTTGCAGAGAGAGAAAGAGCAAGACGTCTCACTCTCGCCCGGACCCCTCCTGGATGATCTGTCATTTCAGCAAGCCCTTTAAAAATGGAGGATTGGGTGGGCCCTTCTGCATGTACAAGGCCAAATTGTCAAAATCCACACTTGGATCCACTTTGGGAAGGTGAAACAAGCTTTTATGCACAAAGGGCGAAAGCACAACTTCACTCTGGCTGTACCCCCCTCCAGAACATCACTCCAAACTGAATCTACTACCCCGGATGACTGAGTATGGAAAACTTGTAAGCATAAAAGATGTCAAAGAGAAAAGTCAGTTGATTTAAATGAAAATGGGGTGGGCCCCGAGGCTCCCAACTTCATCCTTTCCTACTTGTATGTCCATAACAAAAAAAATGCTTTTAAATGAGCTGATGTAGGTAAAAGCTCTTAGCTTGCCAATAAAGTTAGGAATCCTTAACCTGTAAAAGGCTGTCAATAAAGCTAGGGATCCTTAACCTTGTCAAACCCTGTGTAAAAAAAAAAAAAAAAAAGAGGAGAGAGGAGGAGAGAGAGAGAGAGAGAGAGAGAGAGAGAGAGAGAGAGAGAGAGGAGAGAAGAGAGAGAGAGAGAGAGAGAGAGAGAGAGAGAGAGAGAGTTAGAGAGAGAGAGAGAGAAGGAGAGAGAGGAGAGAGAGAGAGAGTGAGAGAGAGAGAGAGAGAGGAGGAGAGAGAGAGAGAGGAGAGAGAGAGAGAGAGAGAGAGAGAGAGGACAGCGTGAAACAAGCTTTTATGCCACACGACGGGCAGCCAGCAGCAACTTCACCCTGACTGTACCCTTCTCCAGAACATCACTCCATCTGAGATCATATATACCCAGGATGACTAGAGTATGGAACACATTCGTACAACATAATGATGTCTCCTCACCTCGTTCTGTTGGGATCTTAAGTGTCGTCTGACCACAAGGCTGTTTTTACGACACTCAAGATCCCAACAGAACGAGGTGAGGAGTCCACACGCACAACCTGGCTATGGGAAAGAGGTAATTGGCCAGCCCTTTGCTCTGAGCTCGCCACCACCGACTGAAATGCTCTTCTCCAAGGGGATGTTGACAACCAAGTGAAAACCTTCACTGGACACATCCTTAATCTACAACAAGAACACATTCCTCACCGGCAATATGTGACGAAGCCTACAGATCAGCCTTGGTTTGGCTTTCGTTGTAGAGAGGCTGCTACTGCTAAGTACAAAGCATGGCGAAGGTGTAAGAGACATCCTACCACCTATAACAGGAACTTGCACATGCAAGCCTGTAGGCATATGGGTGATGTTCAAAAGTGGGCCATTGCTAAATGGGAGGTGGACACTAAAAGAAAGTTAGCATCAGGTAGGGTAGGCTCCAAAACCTGGTGGTCCCTGGTCAAGGACAGACAAGGTTATCTGCCTGATGAACTTATTCCACCTCTAAATCGACAGGATGGGACCACCTCTACTAGTAGTCAAGTAGAAGGCGGACCTCTTTGCTGAACACTTTGCTACCAAAATGCAAGTTCCTGATCCAGCAAGGGACCCTCCTTGGCTAGCTGCAAGAACTGTGTCAAACTTCAGTGGTGACAAAAAGGGCAAGGAGGTGAAATTCCTCTTAAAATCGCTTGACCAAGAAAAGGCTGTGGGCCCAGACAATTGAGCCCAAGATTGTTGAAAGATGTGCAGAACCAGCTAGCAGCACCTCAAACCTCGCATCTTTCAGCACCCCTAGTACAGTGTAAAGGCCCCTCATAAAAAGAGGCAAAGTAGTCCCTGTTCAAAAAAAGAAGAGCAAGCAAAATCAGTAACTACAGACCATGCACCCTGTCAACACTGGAAAATCCTTGAGACAATAACTCAAACAAATACAGAGTTTTTTGACTACCACTCACTCTTTGTGACGTCAATATGGCTTCGGGAAAAGGTTTACTCGCTGCGATCTGTTGTTAAACCTCCCACAAGTGGCCCCAGTCCGGGATAATCCAAAGTCAGCTGGGGTAGCAATGGACATTGCTGGCGCTTTTTTTTTACCGGGTGTTTGGGAAACCAGGGCCCCTTAGCAAAACTTCAACACTAGGAATTTCAGGGTCTCGCTGTCTTCTCAGTGATTTCCTTATGGGAGATCTCTAAGTGTAGTTTCAAAGGAACGGAACAGCAAGAATCCTATTGGGGAAGTGTTCCACAAGGGAAACGTGCGGGTCCTTTTTAGGAATGTCTACTTTAACGACCTTCTTCATCTCACCCCGAATCACAGCATATCAGACGACTGTACCTGACATTTACTTTTCCAAGAAAGAAAAACCAGCTCTCTAACACATCAATCACCCGCGAGGCTATATCAGCTTGGGAAATAGATGGCAAGTAAATTTGCACCTGAGAAAACGCAAATGATGATCGTCTCTAGGCACCATGATGGTAATGCTGGTGCAGTAGTAAGGATGAATGGGAGGATGTTGGCACCTGGAGAAGAAGTTGATATCCTTGGGGTGAAATTTGACTCCAAACTAACCATGAAGAACCAGTTGTAAATCTTGCAAACAAGGCAGCCAGGAACTTACAGCACTTCGCCGTAATCTCCCATCTGCTTGACAGTAGGGGTTGCGAGATCCTGTACGAGGCACAAGTACGCTCGCACCTTGAGTATGCTCCACTTTCTTGGTTTGCCTGCCCCCCCTCTCATCTGCGACTGCTTGACAGAGTAGAGAATAGAGCAAGACGTCTCATCTCTCGCCTGGACCCATCCTGGATAGATCTGTCATTTCAGCAGAGCCTTCTACATAGGAAGGATGTGGGTGGCCTTACTGTTATGTACAAGGCCAATATTGTCAAAATACCACACTTGGATCCACTTCGAGGACAGCGTGAAACAAGCTTTTATGCCACAAGACGGGCAGAATGCAGCAACTTCACTCTGGCTGTACCCTTCTCCAGAACATCACTCCATCTGAGATCATACATACCCAGGATGACTCGAGTATGGAACACATTCGTACAGCATAATGATGTCAACGAGATAAAGTCAGTTGATCAAATGAAAATGCTGGCCCACAGATGGCTCCAACTTCATCCTGTTCCCTACTTGTATGTCTCATAACAATAAAAATGCTTTCAAATGAGCTGATGTAGGTAACAGCTCTTAGCTTGCCATTAAAGTTAGGAATCCTTAACCTGTAAATAGCTGTCAATAAAGCTAGGGATCCTTAACCTGTCAAACCCTGTGTAAAAAAAAAAAAAAAAAGAGAGAGAGAGAGAGAGAGAGAGAGAGGAGAGAGAGAGAGAGAGAGAGAGAGAGAGAGGTGTCAGAGTTGCTGTAACAGATTAATTTTTTTTAAACAATGAAAATAAAAGATAAAAAACTCGTTATTCTTGTATCTATTTAATCGTGCACCTAATATATCTAGTACCTAATTAATATTGTAACTAATTAATCGTGTATCTAATTAATCTGGTACCTATTAATTTTAAACTTAATTAACCTAGTTTCTAATTAATTTTAAATTTAATTAATATGGCACCTAATTAATTTTAAATTTAATTAATCTGGCACCTAATTAATTTTAAATTTAATTAATCTGGTTGCTAATTATTTTTAATTAAGCTAATCTGGTACCTGGTTAATTTTTAACTTAATTTTAAATTTAATTGTTATGGTACCTAACTAATTTTTAATTAATCTGGAACCTAATTAATTGGGTATTTAGTTAAATTTGTATATGGTTAATCTAGTATGTAAAGAAACCAATCTAATTATCTAATTAATATAGTATCTAACGAATCAAGTACCTAACTAATCTAGTACTTAACTAATCTAGTACCTAACTATTCTAGTACCTAACTAATCTAGTACCTAACTAATCTAGCACCTATTCTAGTACCTAACTAATCCAGTGTATAACTAATCTAGTACCTAACTAATCTAGCACCTAACTGTTCTAGTACCTGATTATTCTAGTACCTAACTAATTTAGTACCAAGCTATTATAGTACCTAACTAATCGAGTACCTAACTAATCTAGCACCTAACTATTCTAGTACCTAACTAATCTAGTACCTAACTAATATAGTACATAACTAATCCAGCACCTAACTATTCTAGTACTTAAGTAATCTAATACCTAACTAATCTAGTACCTAACTAATCTAGTACCTAATTAATCAAGTGCATAATTAATATTAAAATAATAATAATAATAATAATAATAATAATAATAATAATAATAATAATAATAATAATAATAATAATAATAATAATAATAATAATAAAGTATGTGGTCTAGAAACGAAGAAATAAATGTCGTGTTTAATCGGTATTATTATTATTATTATTATTATTATTATTATTATTATTATTATTATTTAGTTAGAGCCTTTGAGAATGAAAAGCTGTCAAGTTTGATCCAGGGAAAGAGAGGCGCAGGTTCAGTTCGTTGCATCATGAAGTGTAGAGCGTGATGAGGGTGACCCACCTGTGGGTATCACCGCGGGAATACCCAGAGTGCCACAGTGCCTTGTCAAAGTTCATTATTTATCATCGTCACAGTCTGGTATAAATACTCTTCTAACACCTGGATGACCACCACACTTCACACGTACATGCACACAAGGCAGCGAGGTGCACACACCTGCCAAGTTTACACAGCTGCGAAGTATACACAGGTGTGTTATACACGCTGAAGGTTCGTCAGGAATTTTCCTGCTGAGGCATTTGCTGTAGGAGTAGTGAGGTGACCTGTACTGTGTAGTGACCTGTGCTGTAACAGTCCTGTGTAGTGACCTGTGCTGTAGCAGTCCTGTGTAGTGACCTGTGCTGTAGCAGTCCTGTGTAGTGACCTGTGCTGTAGCAGTCACTGTATCCTGTAGCAACTTGAAAAATACATCAATAACAACGGTAATAACGACGTATATCTTCATATATGTCTAGTTTTTTTTCTGAACTACGTTTATTCTCTTTTGGGAGGTCCCCACGAAACATTCAAGGTCCCCACTTAGCACCCGAGGTCCCCACTGAGTGCTAGAGCTCCTCACTTAACACCAGAGGCTGTACCTTCCTCTCTATGCTGACATACACAAGAACAAGTACTGTATTTGCGTCACAGAGTGCAAGCAGCGGCAAAGACTCAGTCTTCGGTATACACTTCTGTCGAGACAGATACCTTCTTCACTATACCCATCCAGTTAAGTCTGTTTCTTACCCTCGTGATAGGTCATCATTGTTCATGCTTGTGAAGCTGACTGGAAACCTTTTAGACTGGGGTAAGACAACAGTGATGTTTACCGTTGATCATCGGTCTTAGTTACCCTCGTACAGACCTTAGACCTCAAAGCAATTTTAACCAACCTTCCATATATATTAGGTATAATGTTATGTCAACACTAACAAACGTGAATAAAATAAAGCACTTTAATGGACAGTGTTGTGCATCACATCCTGGTGTCTTCTAACCAGTGACTTTAAGAAGTCTGTAAATCAAACTAAACGCTTTGGTACAGAAAGTTTCCGTACAACATCAAAGTGTTTTATTTTATTTTGTTCCAAGTCTTCCTTTGAACTGGATCATGTCAGACTCAGTTTTAACCGTTTGTCAGGGACAAAAATAACATGAGCCTAGGTATGTATAAATTGGATCATCTCAGAGGCCATATTAACTGTTCGCTAGTTAGAAAAACAACAACATGAGCCTGGTTATGTATAAACTGGAACTTCCCAGACTCGAATTTAGCAATATACAGGATGAATTAACTGGATAGTCTTACCGCCCAAAGCATAATTAAATACCTCTGGAGCGGCCACCTCACAGTAAGGACACTCTAGTGAAGAAGTTTTTGACGCAAAGAATTGCAGCAACTCCCCTGCCATTATTATTATTATTATTATTATTATTATTATTCTTATTATTATTATTATATACGTGGGATAAATAAGTAGGGGTAATGTACCGCACAGAAAATGGGAGTTAATCAGATTTCATCAGAGAAGAAAGGAAGGGTAGCTCCATTGCCTTGGATCACGAGACCTTCAGCAGCATTAGGGTAACCCCTCCTCTCCCCCCGCATTTGAAGGCCCATCATACCTCAGGAAATATTATAATTAAGACTACCCTTCCAGCGTTCCATTTAATTACCAGCCTTTTTTTTTTGGGGGGGGGGGACTGTTCCATTTTTATGGTATAATTTGCTGTGATGGTGAGGCCAGCCAGGTGAGGGCGATGCAACAATGTCCTTTGCAACGTCCGGTGCACGATGACTCTTTTCATGACGCAGTAATATGGTCAGAGTCTTACTGTCTCAGATGATTTGTGTTTCACACTGCAGGTGGACGAACTGAATTTCTGTGGTGGACGAACTGGAATTTCTGTGGTGGACGGATTGAAATTTTATATTGTGATGGATAACTGAAATAATTCCCAAATAACTCAAATATTGTTTTTTTTAAGAGGAAATATTGGCAGACATTTCGGTTCTTCCTAAACCATTATCAAGTCACTAATATATATATATATATATATATATATATATATATATATATATATATATATATATATATATATATATATATATATTATATATATATATATTTGTAATTTAGTTAGCGTAGCGTGGTCTTAAAATACCCCTTGTCTCATCCTGCTCAACTTGGCACATCAGAGATGGAGAACACGACTGAACACGAGGCTGCCTTTAAGATGAACAGTATCTTCTTCCAAGAGAAGAGAACACCTGGAGAGGTCAAGGAGCTGTACTCCCAGTTTTCTCAGACCTACGAACAGGTCAGTGCCTAACTCCTCTCATTGTGTCTCAGAAACAACTTTAAGACTAAGGTTACAGTTTTTGTCATAGAGATTGTGGACAGATATATGCGCGAAACGTGGGAGGAATCCAACCCTCTGCTTTCGCACACGAGATAGAGATAGAAAAGAAAAAAGGTATTATACTTTGACTCGAGCAATACATAAATAAACCGTACATAGGAAAGAGGAGCTTACGAAGATGTTTCGGCCCGACTTAGAGCATTTACAAGTCAGAATAGCAAGAGTGCTCAGCGCTCTGATCACGCAGGCTGTTGGTAATCCCAGCTGGTGTTTCCTTTCAGCTGATGAACTCGCGTACGTACGCTGGGCCGAGGGTAGCGGCTGAGGAGATTGCCAGGCTGGTGCCACAAGAGTGCCGCAAGGATGCCAGGGTGCTAGACGTCGCTGCTGGCACTGGCAAGGTGGGCCAGGAGCTGTACAAACGAGGTTTCACGTGAGTAATGCTACCCCAATCATACTTGATGCTATCTAGATAATAATGATATATATATATATATATATATATATATATATATATATATATATATATATATATATATATATATATATATATATATATATTATATATATATATATATATATATAAGTATGTGTGTGTGTGTGTGTGTGTGTGTGTGGGAATCTCTCATCAAAATCTAAAATATATTACAATGAGCTATCTAAATAACATCATTTAAAGATCTAATTAAAATTTGATTTTAAAGCATTGAACGTATTTTCTTATTATGAGAGAGAGGAGAGAGAGAGAGAGAGAGAGAGAGAAGAGAGAGAGAGAGGAGAGAGAGAGAGAGAGAGAGAGAGAGAGAGAGAGAGGAGGGAGAGAGAGAGGAGGCCTAAGATGAGTTTTACCCCAGGTGGCTGGATGCTGTGGAACCATCCACAGGGATGCTGGAGATCCTCTACAAGACACAACCTACATTCCTTACAAGACACACTGCAGTTTTTGAAAGACACACTACAGTCTTACAAGACACACTACAGTCTTACAAGACACAACACTACATCTTATTACAAGATACACTACAGTACTTTACAAGATATACTACAGTTCTTACAAGACACACTACAGTCATACAATGACACACTACATCCATTCAAGACACACTACGTTCTTACAAGGCACACTTCAGTCTTACAAGACAACACTACAGTCTTACAAACACACATAGTGTTACAAGACACACTACAGGCTTACAAGACCAACACTCAGACCTTGCAAGACACACTACAGTTTACAAGGACACACTACAGTCTTACTAGACACACTAAAGTCTTACAAGACACACACATACAGTCCTTACGAAGACACACTAACAGTCCTTACAAGACACACACAGTCCTTACAAGACACACTACAGTCTTCAAGACACACTACATCTTACAAAACAAACTACAGTCTTAACAAGAAACACTACAGTCTTCAAGACACACACAGTCTGACCAAGACAAACAAGTGTCTACTAGACACACTAACAGTCACAAGACACACACTCCCTACCCGTCTTAAATATACACGGCCTACACTACAGTCATTGAAACACACTAAACAGTCAAAACAAGACACACTACAGTCTGACAAGACACACTACAGTCCTTACAAGACACACTACAGTCTTACAATATATACTACAGTCTTACAAGACACACTACCGTCTTACAAGACACACTAACAAGTCTTCAAGACACACCTACAGTCTTACAAGACACACATCAGTCTTACAAACACAATTACAGTCTTACAAGACACACTACAGTCTTACAAGACGTACTACAGTTTGCAAGACACACTACACCTTACAATACACACTACAGTCTTATTAGAACACAACCGTCTTACAAGACAACACTACAATCTTACAAGATACACTGTAGTCTTACAAGATCACACTTCAGTCTTACAAGACACACTACAGTCGTTACAAGACATACTACAGTCTTACAAAGACACACTACAGTCTTTTACAAGACACACTACAGTCTTACAAGACACAACTACAGTCTTACAAGACACCACTACAGTCATTACACGACAAACTACCGTCTACAATTCACACTCTTAGTCTTACAAGACACATCTAATCTAACAAGACACACTATATCCTTTCAATACACACTGTAGTCCTAAAGACACACTACGTCTACAAGACACACTACAGTCTTTCAGACACACTACAGTCTACAATACACACTACAGTCTACAAGACACACACAGTCTCAAAAGACACACTACCGTCCTTACAAGACACACACTACAACTACAAGACACACGACAGTCTTACAAGACACACTACAGTCTTACAAGAACAACACACTACAGTCTTACAAGACACACTACCGTCTTACAAGACACACTACAGTCTTTCAAGACACAGTACAGTCTTAACAAAGGCACACTGTGCAGTCTTACAAGACACCTACAGTCTTACAAACACACATCCAATCTCACAAGAAACGCTGTATTCTTACAAGACACACTACAGTTTTAACAAGACACACTTCAGTCTTACAAGACACACGTACAGCTTACAAGACACACTACCGTCTACAGACACACTACAGTCTTACAAGACACACTACCGTCTTACATATATACTACAGTCTTAAAAGACACACTACAGACAGTCTTACAAGACACACTAACCGTCTAAAGACACACTACAATCTTACAAGATACAATGTAGTCATACAAGACACACTACAGTCCTTTACAAGACACACTTCAGTCTTACAAGACACACTAAAAGTCTTACAAGACATACTACAGTCTTACAAGACACACTACAGTATTACAAGACACACTACAGTCTTATACAAGACACACTACAGTCTTACAAGACCCACTACAGTCTTACACGACAAACTACCGTCTTACAATACACACACTAGTCCTTACAAAGACCAGTCTAATCTAACCAGACACACTACAGTCGTTCAAGCACATTGTAGTCCTTAACAAGACACACTACAGTTCTTACAAGACACACCTCCAGACCTTTCAAGACACACGACATCTTACAAACACACTAACAGTCTTACATGAAACACCACTAGAGTCTTAAAAGACTACACTACCGTCTTACAAGACACACTACTGTCTTACAAGACACACAACAGTCTTACAAGACAAACTACAGTCTCACAATACACACGACAGTCTTAACAAGACCATACTACAGTCTTATAAGACACACTACAGTCGTACAAGAAAAAAAAAAAAAACACCATACATCTTTCAGACCACAGTACAGTCATACAAGACACACTACAACCTTACAAGACACACTACATCTTACAAGACAACATACAGTCTTACAAGATCACATTGTAGTTTCAAGACACCTGTAGTCTATACAAGACACACTGCAAGTCTTACAAGACACACTAACCGTCTACAAGGCACACTACAGTCTACAAGACCACTACAGTCTTACAAGACACACTGTTATTGTTACAAGACACCTGGGCAGTCCTTACCAAGACACACTGCAGTCTTACAAGACACAACTACAGATTTGCAAAACATAATACATCTTGCAAAGACACACTGGAGTCTTACAAGACACACTACAGTTTTGCAAAACATAATACAGTCTTGCAAGACACACTGCAGTCTTACAAGACACACTACAGTCTTACAAAACACACTTCCGTCTTACAAGACACACCAAAAACTGTGTCTTACAAGACACCACAACAGTCTTCCAGACACACTGTAGTCTTACAAGACACACTACAGTCGTATAAGACACACTACAGTCCTTACAAGACACACTATACAGTCTTACAAGACACAATGCAGTCTTACAAGACACACTAACAGTCTTACAAGACACACTACAATCTCACAAGACCCCACCGTATTCTTACAAGACACACTTCAGTCTAAAAAGACACCTTCAGTCTTACAAGACACACAACAGTCTTACAAGACACACTACAGTCTTACAAGACACACTACAGTCTTACAAGACACACTACAGTCTTACAAGATATACTACAGTCTTACAAGACACACTACCGTCCTTACAAGGCACACTACAGTCTTACAAGACACACTACAGTCTTAAAAGACACACAACAGTTTTTACAAGGCACACTACAGTCTTACATACACACTACAGTCTTTAACAAGACACACTGAAGTCTTGACAAGACACACACAGTTTACAAGACACCACTACAGTCTTACAAGACAACACTAAGAGTCTTACAAGAACACTACAGACTTATAAGACAACACAACAGTCTACAAGACATACTACAGTCTTACAAACCACACTGACAGTCTTGCCAAGAACACACTACGGCTTACAAGACACACTTCAGTCTTATAACAAACACACGCTTGTAGTCTTACAAGACCACAACAGAGTTCTTACAATAAGAAAAACTGTAGTCTTACAAGACACACTGTATTGTGTACAAACACACTACAGTCTTACAAGACACAGCTTCAGTCCTTACAAGACACACGACAGTCTTACAAGACAAACTACAGTCTTACAAGACGTACTACAGTCTTACAAGACACACTACAGCCTTACAAGACACACAACAGTCTATTAGACACACTACCGTCTTACAAGACACCACTACAATCTTACAAGATACACTGTAGTCTTACAAAACACACTCAGTCATACAAGACACACTACTGTCTTACCAAGACATACTAAAACAGTCTTAACAAGAAAACACACTACACAGTCTTACAAGACACACTATAGACTTACAAGACACACGTACAGTCTTACAAGACACAACTACAGTCTTACAAACGAAAAACTACCGTCTTACAATACACACACTAGTCATACAAAACACAGTCTAACTAACAAGACACACTACAGTCCCTTTCCAAGACACACCTGTCGCTTAACAAGACACACTACAGTCTTTCAAGACACACTACAGGCTTACAAGACACACTACAGGTCCTTACCAAGACACAAACACAGTCTCAAAAGACACACTACCGTCTTACTAGACACACTACAGTCATACAAGACACACTACAGTCTTACAAGACACACTACAGTCTCTACATTACAAGACACACGACACTCTTACAAGACACACTACAGTCTTGCAAGACACACTATAGTCTTACAAGACACACTACCGTCTTACAAGACACACTACAGTCTTTCAAGACACAGTACATCCTTACAAGACACACTACAGTCTTACAAGATACACTACAGTCTTACAAGACAACCTACAGTCTTACAAGACACACTGTAGTTACAAGACACACTACAGTCTTACAAGACATACTGCACTCTTGCAAGATACACTACAGTCTTACAAGACACACTAAAGTCTTACAAGACACACTTCAGTCTTACAAGACACACTGTAGTCTTACAAGACACACTACAGTCTTACAAGACACACTACAGTCTTACAAGACACACTACGTCTTACAAACACACTACAGTCTTACAAGACTACACTACAGTCTTACAAGACACACCTGCAGTCTTACAAGTACACAACTACGTCCCTTACAAGACACACAACAATCTCACAAGATACCTGTATTCTACAAGACACACTACAGTCTTACAAGACACACTTCAGTCTTAAAAGACACACACAGCTTACAAGAGCACATCTACCTCTTACAAGACACACTACAGTCTTACAAGACACACTACAGTCTTACAAGATATACTACAGTCTTAGAAGACACACTACAGTCTTACAATAACACACCGTCTTACAAGACACACCTACAATCTTACAAGATACTACTGTATCTTACAAGACACACTACAGTACTTACAAGCACAGTTACTCAGTCCTACAAGACACACTAAAGTCTTACAAGACTACTAAAAGTCTTACAAGAACACACTACAGTCCTTACAAGACACACTAGAGTCTAACAGACCCAACCCCCACATTCTTACAAGACACACTACAGTCCTTACACG